GACAGTGCTGTCAAGATCAAGGCACTAGAAGAGAAAGTGAAGGAGGCGGAGGTACTAGCGGCTGAACACGCTCAATTTAAGGAACAGTATCTGTCTTTACAGCTCGATTTGGCGTCGCTAACCACAGCGAAAGATGAGGCCACAGCCAAGGTTTCTGCGTTAGAAGAGAAGGTCAAAGAGAGTGAGGCCATAATTTCTGAACACAGCCAGCTCAGCAGCGAGCACTCCGCCTTGCAGGAGCAATTGAAGAATCTTGACGCTATCACTGCCGCGAGGGACGAAGCCATTGCTAAGGCTGGCGCACTCGAGGAGAAGGTCAAACTTTCCGAGGCAGCTGTCACTGAGACTGCTCAAATGAAAGATGCAGACGAGAAGTTGAAAGTACTGGAGACTGTAACAGCTGCCAGGGATGATGCTCTTGCTCAGGTTGCAGCCCTCCAAGGAAAGGTGAAGGAAGCTGAGGCTTTGGCCGTAGCGCACGAGGAGCTTAGGAATCAGCATTCCACCTTACGGGAACAGATTAAAGAGTTAGAAGCTGCCGTCTCAGCAAAAGATGAAGCCATTGCTAAGGTGGCAGCCCTAGAAGAGCAAATTGCTCGGACTGAGGCCGTTGTTGTGGAGCATGAACAATTGAAGGAGCAGCACGCCACGTTGGTGGCGCAGCTGGAGGACCTCAAAAAAGCTTCCGTTGCGAAAGATGAAGCAACCAACAAGATCACAACACTGGAGGAAAAGGTCAAGGATTCTGAAGCTCTCATTAAAGAGCATAAAACCTTAAAGGAAAGACATTCAACCCTTGAGTCTCAGCTCAAGGAACTCGAAAGTGTAACAGCTGCGCGAGATGAAGCCGTACTCAAAGCCGGGGAGTTGGAAAACAAAGTCAAGGAACTAGAGAATGTTGCTGCTGCTTGCGATGCTGCCAGAAAACGGTCTTCTACTCTTGAGGATCAACTGAAAGACCTGGAACCTGTCATTGTGGCTCACGACTCTGCGGTGGAGAATTGTAGATCCCTCAATACGAGAGTTCATGACCTTGAGGAAGAGCTTGAGACTACAAGAACGCAGCTGAAGCAAGGGCATGAAAAGCATGTCAAGGAGCTAACGGAGTCTCACGAAACTACGATCCTCGACCTGAAGGGATATCATGACAAGGCTGTTGCAGACCTTCGGGCGAAGCATGATGAGATCATAGCTGGACTCACCGGAGGACATCAAGAGGAAGTTGAAGAGCTGAAGAGAACCTTGACTGAGTCTGAGGAATACAAGAAGAAGTATGACGAGCTAGTTAAGGCTTATGAGGATGCTCTTGTTGAGCTTGAACGGCTTGCTATAGCCCTTGAGGCAACTGAAGAACGCCTTGAAAATAACCTACCTTCTGCCGAATACTACGCCGCCCAAATCAAGACTCTGGAGACCAAGCTGGCCGCTTCAGAACAGGCCCTTGCCGACCTTAACAAGAAGGCGGAAGAGACTGGCAGAGTTGAGAACGCCGTAGCTAGCGCAGCGCTTGCTAGCCTCGAGGACAACGTGAAGACACTTGAGGATGAGCTCAACCGCAGTCATAAGAAGATTGTTACAATCACCGAGGAACTAGAGCATGAACGCACACAAGTTGAAGGTCTCCGGAAGGTTCTTAGAGCCCTTGAAGACAATCAAAAGAGCAAAGACGAATACCATGAGGCAACTCTTGCAAAGATGAAGGCCGATGCGGAGGCTCTTAAGAAGGCTTTCGAAGCGAAGATGGAGGCCGAGAAGGAAGCCGGCTCGAAGGCACTTGATTCATTGAATGTCGTTTACGAAGCTGAGATCAGTAGCTTAAAATCACAACACGTTGAGGCGCTGCGAAAATGGCAAGATAAGTATGATGCTTATGTTGCGACCACATCAGATGTTTCCAGTACATACAATGCTCAGGTTGAAGAGCTTAAGGCTGAGCACGCCGCTATTGTTGAAAGCAAAGATGCGGAGCTCGCTCGTTTACAAGGTAGTCTTGAACGCGTGAGGGAGGAGGTCAATAAGTTGAGAAGCACCTACGCAGAGCTGCAAAGCAGAGCAGAGGAAGAGCACAGGAAGAAGATTGAGGATCTGGAGCTTGGCCACTCCAGGACGATCGAAACCATCCTGACCGCTCAAGAGGAGAAGCTCAGCATCATGAGAACTGAGCATGATAATGCGCTCAAAGAGAAAATCGGTGTTGTCGATGCTCATGCTGCAGAACTGCAAACTCTGCAGGAGTCTAAGGAGGCCACGATCCAGGTTCTCGAGAGCGTAAGGAAGGAGCTCGCACAATCTAAGAAGGCTTATGACACTCTGCTTGCTGAGATTGAGAAGACGAAGAAATACCACCAGCAGAGCCTTGACGACCTGAAAGCTTCAGAAGAGAGATATACCGCCCTCGAGAGTGACATCTCCACGCTCGCCACCAAAAACATGCGCCTCACTCATGAGATCACAGAAGCGCAAGCAGTGATGTCACAAAACAGTCGACGGATCCGCGAACTTGAATACGAGCTCAACGAGCTCAGAAAGAGCAAGCACTCAATCGATGAGGGCAACATCGACCCATCAACGCCAGATGGCGGCCTCCATAAGAAGGGCCATTTCTCCAATATTTCTCTTGGTAACGAAAAGGATAAGCCTAAGTCCTTTAGCAAACGGAAAAGCGAAGTAGCCAGCTCTGCTTCTGGTTCAATTGCTGAAGGGAAAGACACCGAGAGCCCAGAAGATCCAGCAAGTCCTATGACGCCAGACGGTAACTCGGAGCATCTACGCGAGAAAGCGGCAGCTACTGCGTCATTTGATGGGAAGGTGAAGTCTTCGTCTTCCTCCTTTTTTCAAAGCATGTTCGGTCGACAGGCATCCTAATACTTGATGATTATTTACTTTTCTCTTGAGCAACATAGATCGCCAGCATCAACGAACAGATTCGTCAATTGGGAGCCTTGAATGATGATATCTTTGACCATCACCAGAAGTGAGTACCGACAAAGAGTGATTTGCTATAGGAACACCCGCTGAAATATCTACTATCGCAGTCTGATCAATCAACTCTCTAAAACTTCTACGATTGAGTCAGCTTCCATGACTTTAGGGGAGTCAAAGACAAGCGACTCGAAGAGTTTGATAGAGGTTACCCAATCATCGACCTCTAAATAATAGAGTCCTGGTCTTCCCTTTTTTTTTTTACGTTGCAATGTCCATTTTTCTACTGCGGGCATAGGCCCCTAAATCTTTGTTTCCTTTCTCCTGTAATGGAGTCAGATACTGTACATGGATGCTGTCGCGCCTTTTCTATTTTCCTATCATCTATCCCCATTTTCTGGAAATGAACAATATGCAACCGGATTCATCCCTTGCAGTATTGTCGATTATTTAGGATTAGCCGTCTCTGGCATGCGACACCCCCAGCGGCGTAAGCATGGATGGGAATCTGCACCCTTGCATCATCATGAATGAATCTTACTCGTCATATGATCTCTAACCATATCTTCCTGACGAGTCATCGGGATGCCCCGCGCTGGTTTTAAAATATAAAAAGTGGCCTCGAACGCACTTCAAAACTTACTGACTCTTAGCGAGCTTCAGTTGCATTAGGGAACAGAGTCAGAAATGGCTTCGGGACTTTTTAACACAGGCGAATTACTGCGTGTCGCACCGTTGATCACCACGACGGCCACACTGCATTATGCATGGGATGAGCATTTCTTCCTTTCAATCTTCTTATCGGACGTGTTTCAAAAATGTCGCGATGAGTATGAGAAACAAGAAGCAAAGACAGATGCGATCCAGTCTCATCAACCGTCAATCAACTCAGTCATACCGCGCTACTTTGCTGGCTTTTTCTACGGCGCAGGAACCATTTTCCTTGTTGGCGCCAATGCGGCTACCATGGTGACAGCTGGGATGAACTTGAAATTACGGGCGCTTTCTGCCAATCCCATCAGATGGTGCCTATATGCTGCAGGACTTGGATTTACAATTGGCCACTTTTTGTGTGTGCCTATGGTGATGTGGTCGGTCAAGGCGCTGCTCGACAGAGCGGGGCAAATCATGACCGGAGAAGAAGTCGATGACGAAGAACCGTCAAAGGAACTGTGGAGGTGGTTGAAGGGCCATTACATTCGCACGTTGCTGGCTGACATACCTGGATGGCTCTGTTTCTTAGGCGCTGTGATTGTTTGAGGCTATGCTTGTTGTCGACATGGTTCATCCGCGATTGCTGGCGCCCCGTTTCAAACCACATCGTCCAACGGACATTCCTGTTTGAACCGTGGCCCGTTCTGTCAATCTACGTCCCAGGCAATTCTTCTCTGATGATGCGATAGACGAAACCCTATCTGTCTTATCTATTGTATAGGTTGGCCAGCAGCCAGCATCATGCATTTCATAAGTGGTTTTGCTCTAGTATCAAGTTCCCCTTTGTGTTTTCCAAAACATTAGAGTGGGGGATATGGTACAGTGGTTCAGCGCTTCCCTAGCAGGTCTCTTGATGTTAACCACCAAGAGGGCGCAGTAAGTTTTACTCCTGCATCCCCCCTTTTCTCACCCCTCAACACCAAGAAAAACCTGCATAAGCCAGGTCTGCTGATGTAGCAGCCCCTTCCTGTGATCCTCGCTCATGTAAACTAACCGCCCCAGAGTACGCAAGTGTATCTTGCAGATACACTCGATGTCTCTAACTTTACCGTGTAGTGTAGCCTAACTCTAGTAATACTAGCAGACTCAAGACTCAACAGACTAACACTAAATATGGGGGACCAGCGGGTCAAGTAGGACACTAGTCTTCTTTAGTCAGATATGTGTGGATGTGAGGTGTACAAATCCCTATCGCTACTTAGTAAGCAATGTTCTTGATTGTGTACCCGATCTACCCTCAGTGCACACTGTTGCTGATCATATCCAGCTGCTACTGTGGGTCTGCTCCAACAGCACGTATCAAAACTAAAGTGAGTGGCGCATGTTTGATGATATATTTACGTACGGTAAATAAATGCTGTTAAGGCCGAGTGGTGTAGTTGGTTATCACGTTTCGTTAACATTTCATATGTTGACGCCGAAAAGGTCCTCAGTTCGAGTCTGGGCTTGGTCATGTTCTTTTTTTTTTCCGAGAACCAAACTCGTCGGTCCCTGAACATTGACGTTGTTATTTATTCCTTTGTCATTTATATGTTATTGAAGCATGAGCGGTATATTAGCATTGCTGAAGTGATGGACCACCTTCCATGGTGTGACTCGAATCCAGTGGTGATAATTTGGCCAAACCCTTGTCATTATGATCCAGTGGCTAACGACGTTGTAGATACGTGTTTGTCCATTACGATGGAAAAGAAACGGCCAAGCGGCAGAGCAATCATGATTCGGTTTATGCGAGGATGATCACATTGGCCTTGCTCCAAACTTTAAGACAGCCTGTTGGACGTGACGTGAAAAGAGCATAACGCAGTTCCAGTTCGATCTCTATTTACAATCTCATTGGCATGCGTACTCGACTGGAGGTGGATGCTAGTCCTTGCACCGTGTTATTGGTTGGCAACCGCCCTCCAAAAAGTTTTGTTCTCGTGCCCCTGGCTTGTCTTCGCAATAGGCATCACCATCTGCTTTGGATCCTGCGTCTGCTTCAAAACGTGCCTGGCATAAGCAGAGGCAACCTTCAGCCAGCTAGCCTTCTCCTTACGATTAGCATTGGCTCCCTCCCAGGCCCACAGTGTTTTCCCGGTGTCAATGACGAAGATGTCGTTACCATCGAGTTCGCCCTTTGAGATAAAGGTGCCTTCTTTGACAAGTTCAAACTTCAGCTGACCAGATTCATCGCTGAGTTTGAACAGCTTAAGTGTAGCTGCAGAGCCATTGTCACTTTCAACATCGCGTGAACCGTGTAAGGTGATAGGTCGCGGTGCACTGAAAGAGTCCTGTTCAACTTCTTCACCCTCACCCGCTAATAATTCAACGAAGACATGAGCTCTTGGCTCTTCCTGTGAAAGGACCTCCGTCTCAATATGCTTTGCAGTAGTCATGTCTGCGACGACCTGTGCACCCTTAACCTTCTCAATTGGACTGCATTTCTTACCCTGCCAAACCCAAATCTTTCCGCCAGTCTCAAGAATGAAGACGTCTTCGTCGTCGAGACTCTTCCATGTTGGCTCAACTTCGTGAACGAGTACTGTGGACATACGTCCAACACCAGGCTGCTTAAATACGCGGAGCAAAGTGCTGATCTGTTTTTGCTTCTCCCCAGATTCGGCCTCCGCATCTGTTTCAACGTGAGTGAACCCGGAGCGCACGCCACCACGACGGAGGATTAAGCGAGGGAAGAGGGATACGAACTCAGCGGATGGTGATTCTTGAACCTCCCTATGTTGCGTCACTGCACCGTGTAAGAATTCATCGAGCTCGACAGTCTTGTAGGCTGCAGTTCCAGCTTCATCTTGAGTGGTATCCTTCCCTAACCAAAAGAAGATTTCATGGCCTAGCTTCATGACCTCCTCCTCTTCCCCCTCTTCACCTTCGCCCGTGGTCTGTTCCTTTTCGCCTTTCTCTTCAATCGCATAACTATGCAGAATTATATAGCTGTCCCCTTCATAAAACTCCCCATATATCTCCTTAGGCCAAGGGACAACTTCAAATTGCTCAATACGCCAAACCCTTAAACCGGACTCTAAGCCGACGTGACCATCGTTCCATGCCGGTTCAGTCTCGGCGGAGGCGTATTTGACTTTATGGTCAAGCTCGGAATTAATTAGTTCGATGTTGGAGTCCCTCACGTCGTAGCGGGTCGGGTGAATAAGACCTTGCTCGGGTGCCATAAATGCCAGGTTGATGTGAGCCAGTGGTAAGTTCATAGTAATGATGCCGGAACGATCGAAGGATCCTGGTGGTGCAATATCTCTTCTAACCGTCTATTAATACGCAGAAAAGGGAGCGGAGCAGATAAATAGCGTCTTTCATCCGAACAAAGAACAGCCTAGGAAGGCGATGGCGCTAATGTAGTACAGCTGCCAGCTGTTACGCTATTATCCGCACGCATAGAAGCCCATCATCAGGTTCAAGCGAAGCACTCCACATGCGTGGATGAAGAACTGCATCGCGGGACTATGTGGCTCACTATTGGGTCTTCAGCCGAGGTCTGAATCGAGTGCATCTCGCACTACCTTATCCTGTTATCATAGGCACGAAGATATCTTTTTTTCAGCTTTTGAAATGTGTGGCAGCAGTAACTGCTCCACCAATTGAAGGAATCTCTTCAGTTTGGAGGCGGTATAGGAAAGCTATGCCTCAGGAAGTTGAGTTAAGAGCATCAAATGACCAGCGTGCATTGGTTCGTACTGAATATGAGATCAGCAATGGACGCCATTATCGATTCGGCAAATTACTCCTCGCGCCGGTTGATTATTTACAAAGAAAGCTCAACTTCTATCTTCGTGTGCCACCTTCTCTCCACTGGGAATCACCCTACGATTAATTCTGAGGCCCAGCAGACAGATATGCGTATAACCTTTGGTCAACTGTTATATTCCTATAGCGGCCACGGACAGTGAGTGTCAGTGCGGTTTGTGATGCTTTCGTCGAACGCAGGGGGATGCTTTCCCTTGAATATGATCCATAAGGTACCTCTAGGAGCGACTCTTCTACGACCGTGGGTGTCATGTTACGTGACATCTGATATCACTGCCGCAAACCTATCCAACAAAAGTCGCTTTGGCGAGACGACAGACACGTCACAATAACTTCCAGTCAGGGCTCCACCACATGGATTTGACTTCAATGTCAAGAACACCGCAACAATTGGCACTATCAGTCTTTGACACCTTGAGTTTGCTTACCCCGTCGTCCCTTGATGAACACTAGCGATAGTTCTAGCTCAAGGGGTGGAAAAATGCATCAATGATCAAGATATCGGGCAAAATGCTACGAATGCATTATGCCCGAGGTGCAACGACCCTGATTACCTGCCGAGGAGGTTCTGTTGGAAAGAATCTCTTGTTGCGCGCGGTTGTTTGTATCTTCTATAAGGTCATGCCAGAGGAATCAAGCATCAGTGACATGCATTGCAAAGCTTGATTTTGCGGCATCTCTAGTACGTTTGGGCTTAGACTCATCAGATCAAGCTCTAGGATCGTCAGCAAGACGCTGCGATTTTCATGTGAAAAAAAAAAAAAAAATAGATACGGTCTGTGATGATGTTCGGCGGAACCTGCACATGGAACAGATGCACACCCAACCATCGAAGCACCTTCATGTTTCTAAGATATTGGCAATTGTTTCCAAAGTCTGCATGGTGTCATTGTCTGAACTTGAACAGGCCGATCGCTCAGTCAATGATGCCGCACCATTGCAATCTCATCACACGAGCAAACATCCTCAGATGCTTCAGAGTTCGTCGATCAGAGTTCCTTTGGTATTGAATCTTTCTAGCTTCGATTCATGTTGAGATGCTCGTCAGACACTAGGTCGCAATGCCTTTTCGAATGATTTAAAAGGACCACTTGCCCGGCCTTTGGTGCCCTCTCGAACAACCAGAATCAAGAATCGAAAAAGAAGATCAGACAAACAAAGCTACTCGAACGGATAGACAATATCTACCATCAAATCAATCTCTGCATCCTGAACAATATGAAGCTCAGCGCCCTTCTTGCTACCACTATTCTTGCGGTCACGGCAGCTGGCACTCCGCTCGCGAGGTCGGATCAATGGACCGATACGGATGATGTTGCGCCCCCCGAACAGACCAAGCTCGCGCACAGCAAGAAGAGCGAGCAGCTCAACGCTCGTATGAACGGGAAAATGAACGTCGCCGCAACGAACACAGCTGATGACACGGACAAAACCATTGCGGCTGCCGACAAGGAAAGACGGCATCTTTGTATAGGGCCCACTTACGTAGACAGCCACACTGAGGGTGTGATTCCATATTATTCTACCGGAGTTCCTACTAAGCGGGCCGACAGCGAGGGCAACCTCGAAAAGAGAGTCTGGCTTCACCCCTCCCTTGCACCGACCAAGCGGGCCGATAGTGAGGAT